GTTGGGAGGTGACAACCAATTGGGAGATCACGGGATCGATCGACGCAGAGCGTCGTCTTTAAAATTATATTGATCCTATTTGTTCTTTTGGAAAATATTTTATATAAATAGGACTTCCTACTTATTTTCTAAGGTTTCTTACATAGTACCATTTTTTATTTCAATATACTGAACTTGTGCTTATTAGAATTCAAGATATTAATTAATACTTTTCTTTTGAGAGAGAATATTAATTAGTACTTCATGACACATGTGCATTTAATAAAAAGAAGTGGAGACCGATGTCCTTCTAGAGCATGCACATGTATTTAATAAAAGTATGGAGGTACCAAGTCACAGAAGGACTCACAACTAAAAAGTAGCTAACTAGTCCCTTCTTTTTACAAAGAGGTCCGTAGAACAATGATGGAAAACACGGTATGTACAAGCACAACCTCACAATTGTCGAGGACGACCCACTTGGGACGACAAGACCTCTGTGACTCCATGTCGTAAGCTCCTTGGAGAAGCAGTGATGCCTCCCTTTTACCTCCTTGGCCGGGATGAAGAAGAATGACCGTCCTTGGGCCACAAGAAGTGGTGGTATGGTCAAGCCAAACAACACCTTATTTTATAGTCGCACCAAAGCATCCCCCATGGATGACCTCTATCCCCATCTAGAACTTCACATTTTCCCACTTTGTGTTTGCCATGCAACAATCTAGGAAGAACGGGAACGAGTGGAACACCTGTAGAGCATGAACCAACCGAGCTTATTGAAGAAGATTCCAGTAATGATACGCTTCACGGTAGCTATCCAGCAACCAGTACCATCAGGACTACGAGCATCCGTGAGCCACCAGCCATTGCTCGGACACGGCAACAACACACTCCCCTTAGGTAAGACATCATGTGCGACAGTGTGATGATCGAACCCTAGACCTAGACACTGTTCATACAAGACATTGTTGAGCGACACATTTTCCCTCCTCTACTCCGGTCGGTGACACCGTCGGAGAAATCAGGGGATCGAGCCGGTGTAGGGGATTTCTTCTTGAGTCTTAACGGTCTCTCTCCTCATGATATATCGTAAGTGCACATTTTTCAAATAGGTCATTTTCAAAACTCCTTTTTATATTGTTTTCGACCAATTTTTTACCATCCTATTAATGAAAAATAATAATGAACTTACAATAGCGATGCTAGAACATAATTGTTAGAAATTAACTTATATAGAAATTATCTGGAATATAACCATAGGTTGTTCCGCATGTCTACTGCCGTCATTCATTGAAACATATAACCGAGGGTGAAAATCAACCGTCGGTTATTGCTACCCCCCGTCGCCCATTTCCAGTCATAGCCGAGAGTTTTGTTTTGACCTTCAGTCATTAGTTTATACCGTCGGGTATTACATGTAATCCCCGTGGGTATATCCATAACCGTCGGATATTTCAATGGACCGTCGGGCATTAAATTGGATATCCGATGGTTGGGTTTTCCCCGTCGGTAAATGCAATACACCGTCGGTTATTACCAGTCATACATGTGAGTTGAAAAAAACCATTGGCCATTACCACCACCGTCGGCTATTATTGTCAAGGCCGACGGCCCGTCGGCTATTAAATTTCACCGTCGGAAATATGAGGATTTCTAGTAGTGAACCTCTCCTTCCCCCTTGCTGGATCAAGGAGGAAACGTCACGCTGACCGTACGTGTGTTGAACGCGGAGGTACCGTCCGTTCGGCGCTAGGATCTCCGGTGATTTGGATCACGTCGAGCACGACCTCCTCATCCCCGTTCTTTGAACGCTTCCGCGCGTGATCTACAAAGGTATGTAGATGCAATCCGATCACTCGTTGCTAGATGAACTCATAGATGGATCTTGGTGAAACCGTAGGAAATTTTTTGTTTTCTGCAACGTTCCCCAACAACAACATCAGCAAGTAATAATTTTATCCCACAAACATCAATAAGCAGCAACACAGCAAGCACACATGGAAGCCAGCAAGCAGCCAAACATACATCAGATTCAAATTAGTATAGTACTACTACTACCTAATGAGAGTCTGCTACTATGGTCTATGGGAGCCGGCAAGCAGCCAAGCATGCATCAAGATCAAGCACACATCAGTACATCACTAGGGGTTCGGGGTAATTGCTGTTTACCTTGTGAGTTGCGACGGTGATGGAGAAGAGCAGAAGATTCAAGCGGAGAGGCGATTCCAGCCGGTGGGGGCGAGTTGAGGCGGCAGCGAGGCAATTCAAGGCGGCGCCGGTGAGCCACTCCAGGCGGCGAGCGACTCCAGTCTGCGGCGGCGGCCGGCGGGGAGGCTTATCCAGCGGCGGCGGTCGGCGGGGAGGCTTGTCCAGCGGCGGCGGTCGGCGGGGAGGCTTGTCCAGCGGCGGCGGCTCCCTCGTGCAAGCTCCTGTCGTGCGAACAAAACAAAAGAGAGGGAGTGCGCAGATGCTAGGGTTAGCCATGGGCCTTCCAGTGGGCTGCCGTGTCGCTCCCGTATCGTAGACGATACACAGGAAGTATCAACGTTTTTTCTTTTCTTTTTAAATCGGAAAATAGGATACTTGCCGATACCCGTATTCCGATCGTATCGTGCGTATCGCCGTATCGGGAACGTTCAGTACGCCGATACTCCAGTTTCTGGCGTATCGGTGCTTCGTAGTCCGTCTAGCCTTGGTGGCGGTGTGGAAAGACCGTTGAATTTCAGTCGTCTAATGAAAAAATTATCGACATCCGCAATACATAATTTGTGTCATTAGATTCATCAAGAAGAATAATTTTATATGTTATTTATTTAGCATTTTAGATGTTAATAGTTTATATTGGAAATTTGGTCAAACATATGCATGCATGTTTTGAGTTTTGTAAAACAAAACTTGCACTACAGTACTAACTCTTCCTGGTTTGATGATAATTAAGTTATGACCATCACACTATAAAAGGTAGCACCGCACACATGCATAACCACTAAGCCACCACGTTAAGAGCCATATCTTTTTTGACTTGCGCCTTGCACCTAAGCCAACTAGGTAGGGAGTCACATCATGGAGCTCAACCTTGCCTCGTATGTGTCCATTTTTCTCTTCGTCCTCTCCGGCACGTACGTCTACTACAGGACACGGAGCCGGTTGCCGCTGCGGCTCCCGCCCTCGCCGCCCGGGTGGCCTGTGATCGGCCACCTCCACCTGATGACGGACATGCCCCACCACGCACTCGCAGAGCTGGCCAGGAGCATGCGCGCTCCGCTCCTCCGGCTTCAGCTCGGGAGCATCCCGGCCGTGGTGATCTCCAAGCCCGACCTGGCCCGCGAGGCGCTCACCACCAACGACGCGGCAATGGCGTCCCGGCCACACCTCCTCTCCGGGCAGTTCCTCTCATTCGGCTGCTCCGACGTCACGTTCGCGCCGGCGGGGGCCTACCACCGCATGGTGCGGAGGGTGGTCGTCTCCGACCTCGTCTCGCCGCGCCGCGTGGCCACCTACGGAGGCTTCCGGGACGAGGAGCTCCGCCGCCTCCTCGCGCACCTCACGGAGAGCGCCTCGACGGAGGAGACCCCCGTCAACCTCAGCAAGTGCCTCCTCAACCTGGCCAACGATGTGCTCTGCCGCATCGCCTTTGGCCGCCGGTTTCCGCACGGCAAGGACGACAAGCTCGCCGCGGTGCTCGCCGAGTCGCAAGACCTCTATGCCGGATTTGCCATAGGCGACTTCTTCCCGGAGTTGGAGCCTCTCGCAAGCACCCTGACGGGACTCCGCCGCCGGCTGAAGAGCTGCCTGGCCGACCTCCGCGAGGTCTGTGACGAAATCATCGAGGAGCACATCAGCGGCGAGCGCCAGTGCATCCCCGGCGACCGAGATGAGGACTTCGTCGACGTCCTCCTCCGCGCCCAGAAGGCGCCCGACCTACAAGTCCCACTCACCGACGACAACCTCAAATCCATCGTCTTGGTACGCCACTCGCCCACTTTGGCTCTCCTGGACTCTATGGAGGCCAAAATTTAAAAAAAATCACAAAACAATGTTTTTTAGATAAAAAAAACATGAAAATGATGAACACATAGTTAGAGATGTCTTTGAAATTTCACAACGAAATACTCTCTCTGTCTGAAATACTTGTCGGAGAGATGGATAAAATTGGATGCATCTATATCTAAAATACGTCTAGATTCATCCAGTTCTCCGATAAGTATTTCTGGACGGAGGGAGATATGAGGTTACACAAAAAAAATCCATGTAATTTTTATAATGAAATTGTATGTGCTAGAAATACATGATTTTATTATTTTCTCAACATCAAAATATATTTCATGTGAAACTTTACAAACAGGTAATATGTACTTTTTCAGAATTTTTTGAAACTTGAAAATCAGATTATTATTAATTTTACTTTCTCAAATACGGGCTCCATCATGAAGCCCGAGAGCCAAAAGGAATTTCCAATGTTGAACTTGCTATATAGATAACTCGAGTAGCTCCATCTAAATATTGATATTTTATCCTTTATACAAAACCCCGTAATACTTTGTGTTCAAATGGTCATGAAAAACCTACCGTCGGGTTGTGGTTTCACTATGGCAATGTCCACTATGTTGTGGTTTCAGGACATATTCATCGCCGGCACAGACACGACGTTTGCGACCATAGAGTGGACGATGACAGAGTCCTAAGAAAAGCGCAGGACGAGGTCCGGCGGGTCGTGGGTGCCAAGGGTCAGGTGAAAGAGTCGGACCTCGCTGAGCTCCACTACATGCGCACCATCATCCGTTTGCACCCGGTGGTTCCGCTGCTTGTGCCTCGGGAGTCCATTGTCGCATGCACCCTTGGCGGCTATGACATCCCGGCCAAGACCCGCATCTTTATCAACACTTTTGCCATGGGCCAGGACCCGGAGATTTGGGAGGACCCGCTAGAGTACTGGCCAGAACGGTTCGAGATCGCCGGCGGCGAGATCAACCTCAAGGATCGGGACTATAAACTGATGCCGTTTGGCGGTGGTCGGCGAGGGTGCCCACTGCCCAGGCTACACGTTCGCACTGCCCACTGTGCAGTTAACGCTGGCCAAACTGATGTATCACTTTAAGTGGGCCCTGCCAGAGGGCTTGCGCGCTGAGGACATCAGTGTAGAAGAGAGCTTTGGGTTAGCCACAAAGAAGAAGGAGCCGCTCTTCGTTGCCGTCAGGAAAAGCGACATGTATGAGTTTAAGGGGGAGTAAACATCAGAAATCTTGCTGGGAGCCATGGTGCACGCACATCTTCAACTTCAACCACCTTCTGTAAGTAGTATTTATGTCTGATGCGCCGCGTCATAAACCGTGGTGGGAATTAATAAGTTTAAATTAATTCAATAAACATTTTGTTTATTATCTTTAACAAAATTCTTGATTCTCAATTGACCGAACAGTTGGATTTGGGCCCAAAATTCTTGCAAAGAGAATCGTTCTAGTCATAAGCCCAACGCCGAAAGGTGCTGTGGGACGGACTATACCTCGCTTGTAGTAAGGTGAATGTTGCGCTCGCCTACAGCTCACAACTTATGGGCCGGTCCCAATAGTGTTGTTCTTTAGAAATGACATAAGTATTCCAGCGAAAGCTACATTCTGTTTCTTCAAAAAAATCCTTTACTTTTCTTTTATTACTTTTTTATTTTTTCAAAAAATATATAAAAAATATTCCAAAATATTTCTTTAATTATTTTAATGTTCATGGTGCTTTAAAAAATGTTCATTCAGGGAAACAAGTTTCAAATAACTTTTCAAAAAAATAGAAAGGGGTGCGTGGAAGTCGGCTATCCAGGTGCCAGAACAATGGGTTGGTTTGAGATGCTTGTGCCAAAGATGTACAACATGTATTGGAAACATAAATCTATATTGGAAATAAAAGGAAATAAAAAATAGAAAAAGAGAAAGGGCCACGCTACGCATCGGCGGGCGGATAACGAGAAAACATACACTGCCTCGCTGGCCGTTGGATGGATGTGGGGATGGCTATCCGATCTACTCACCCACGAGCACCACCTCCCTTTTGCAACAAGAGCGGTGTTGCAGAACTATCCTTGCAATAGTATGCTTGTTGTGAAACGTCTGAACGACTGAACCACTATTTACCTTTCTGAAACACGAACTGTGTTGCAGAACTTTTTTGCAACTGAGGTGTCTTCACTCTTTTGTAATATAGCTTATGTTACGAGAGAAACTTCTGCAACATTACTGTTGTTGCAAAAAAAATGGAGGGGAGTCAGGGGACAAGTGTCGTACGAGCGAACATGGGTTGTATTGTAGACTTTTTTGTTTTCATCTTTTTGTAACACAGATGATGTTGCGGAAGGATTTTTTCAACATGAGTAATGTTGCAGAAATTTTGTTTACATAAAGGATGATGTAACACGACCCTTGTTGGAGAAGCCGACTCGCGGAAGAAACATGTGGATGCGCTATCAATAAGGATAGCAGTGTGGTGGGCTCCACTGGGACACGTGTCGCGTAGAGGAAGCGGTGGACGAAATGAAAAGATCCGCTGGTGGATTTTGAACGTTTTCCAAAGAGAAAACCCAAAATAAGCTGATGATAACTGTAAAGAAAAGCACAGGAAAAGGAAGGAAGACAAAACCAATGAAAACCAATGAAAGACCGAATCAACCTAGCTAGTAGACATCAAGAAGAAGAAGAAAACAATGTACAATGACTGAGTGTTGAGAGCGCTAATAGAAACCTCTTAGATGGGCCGGCCCACTTGCGACAGCGCTGAAGGCGGTAGCTACATTCGTCTCACAGCATTGGCTAAAAAAATCATTTCACAGCAAGCGAGATGTAGCTCTCATGGGTTTTTTTATAGCTCTTGTGGGGTGGTGATGGTGGTAGATGTGACATACATTCGTCTCACATTCTTCGGTGTAAGTTTCTTGAAAAAAGGGCCGTTGTGTTTTTTTGGATGGTGACGTGAATTGTGTGTCTTTTTTATGGACTACAAAAGATACCCTCCCTTATAGATTCAAAATCAGTCTACCTCGAAAGCATTTATCTTGAACACCCACGTGTTCAACAACTAAACCTATTCATTTTTAGGGAAAGCCTTCATGGCACTTAATTGTATGTCAAATAACCTTACATCGATCATTTGTAAGTACATCGATGATGAAATTGGGCGGATCACGCAGCCACACAGTGGATAGGTTTCCATCCGGCTTCTGATTCAAGCACATGTGCCATCACATTACTTTCCCTAGGACAATGAACAAAAGAGATACTAGTAAAATTATGAGCTAGAAAGTCCACTTCACATAGATAGCAGTTGTAGGGCCATTTGAACTCCCTCCACTCTTCATAATCTCCATGATGTCCATGGTCACTGTTGACGACGATCTTGTTGCAACCAGTTTGCCCCTCAAGTATCAAGGCGTTTTGGAGTGTCCTAGATTCCGTGGTTGAAGCATCAGCCACATGTGATATCCCACAAGAGCTAGCCGCGATTAACATACCTCTGTCGTCTCTGACGGTAGCTCCCGTAGCACCAATATTGGTCTTTAAAGAGAATGCAACGTCAATCTCCAGCTTCACAAAGCCGTCACTGGGATTCTCCCATCCACGCCGATGGATCATGTTGTTTGATTTTGCATCCCTAGTAGATTTAGTAACTATCACAGCTATCGCCTGGGACGATCGAGCTGGGGACTAAAATGTACCAACATGTCATCTCCACTAGTTCCTTCAAGCCGATACCAGCAAGATTTGGTGTCGCACTATCGTGTCATCTGGGGATGTTCCCAAGCACACTCGGCCCGACATTATCCACACATAAGTTAACCAATATACCTTGGGCTCCTAGATTATCCTAGATTTATGTAACTATAGGGCAATGGAAAGCAGCGTGCTTGATATCTTCAAAGTGCATTACACACACTGGGCATAAATTTCTAGGGCTGATATGACAAATTGCAAGATACTATTGCATGGAAGTGTAACATGCAACATCCGCCAGCAGAATATTTTGACCTTTGTCAAGACTTTAAATCTCCAAACTTATACCTAGACGGGGTTGACCTGAACAGAAGTTAGAGAGTTCGTTCGAGCTAGCGTCCTCCCGTGCTGGTATTCCCATTCAACATGATATGAAAATCTCACCGAGGAAGTTCCTGATTTGGTATGGTTCCATGCAATGAAGTCGTCCATGTGATTCACTGCCAATGGAATATTGCGAATCCTATTTGCATCAATAGGGTAGAATAAATTTCTGACCAGCCCTTCATCCCATGCATATGTGTACATGTTGATCAACTCTAACACCTTGGTCAGCACAATGTTTCCCCATGGGGTCAAAACTTTCCTCGATGGGTATTTTGGAATCCATGGGCCATCCCATATATTGATGTTCTCCCCATTTCCCACTCTCCAAATGTAACCTTTTTTTATTACCATAGGATAACTGCATGAATACTTTCCAAGTAAAGGACAACCCCTTCTTAATTTCAACATTCAAAATATCTCCTGAGGGAAGGTATTTCACCCTTAGAACCCTAGCACACAAAGAGTCTGGCTCGCAAATCAGCTGCCAAACCTGTTCTTTGGGACTACACAAGATACCCTAATTATTTATTTTATTTTTTTGAGTGACAAGATACACTATTTGAAAAGTCCATTTTCATTTATACTAAGCATGCATTTTGCCAGAATACTTTCAAAAGCATTCATGAAGTTAAACATACGTTCACAAAATTAAGAAACTGTTCATGCCTTTTCTTTTATAAAACTATAAATATTCATGAATCAAAAATATGTTCCTCTGTGCAAAATGAGAAAAGTAAAAGTAAAACAAACAGAAAAGGCGAGCAGAAAAAATGAAGAAAAAAGACACATAAGTGGAATAAAAAATCACCATTTTTTGAGGCAAAAGAAAGAATCACCAGAAAACATTTGAAAAACACCAAGGATAAAAACGGATACATGGGCCGGCCCATGTAGCGAGGGAATAATAGGAATTACGCCCAATGATATGCGTCAATAGCCTACTGCGATTCCACGTATGGGTCGGTCCATTAACGCGCCTAACATTAGAGAAATGTAGAAATGTGGGGCATCCAGGCATCGATTCTAGGTCGGGCTGGACGGTGGGGTACCGGTTCTACACACTGAGGCAAGGCCGGGTACTAGGAGGCACGACAATATCCTCTATTCTTAAATAGGTACAACTCACTATCTAATTTTTCCCTTCATGCAACAATGTCACATCATCAAGTAATGCATGTAGACATAAGATAATTTTTCCATGCAAAACATACCACCTCATGCATGACTTTGTTTCCAGGAATTTAAGTCATGTAAGACACTTTTATATTTATTTTTGCATTAATTTTAGAATTCTACCACTTATCCGTAAATCCTTTTAACAAGGCTCACACACCAACGCACGGAGCATCATCTAGTTGAGGGAAAATTGCGGACCTTTGTTGGAACCTTCCAGTGACAGAAATTGTTTTCTTCCCTGATTTTCTGGTTTTCTATCAGTTTTTAGTTTCTTCTTTTATTTGTTTTTTCTTTTCCATCCCTTTTCAGTTATTTTCTTTTTCCTTCTCCATTTTTTCCTTTTTTACATTAATTCATGAACCTTTTCTAATCTGTGAACATTTTTTATCATTAACTTGTCAAATTAGATAATAATTTTTAAATTGAAGGAC